ACAAATATCCCTTGCCAAGGATTGACGACTTGTTCGATCAATTACGGGGGGCAACCGTGTTCTCCAAGATCGACTTGAGGTCGGGCTACCATCAACTAAAGATCAAGGAGAGTGACATACCCAAAAGTACATTCCGTACAAGGTATGGTCACTATGAGTTCCTGGTGATGTCGTTTGGGCTTACAAATGCCCCCGCGACATTCATGGACCTCATGAACCGAGTATTTCATCAATACTTGGACCAATTTGTCATAGTGTTCATCGATGATATTTTGATATACTCCAAGAACGAAGAAGAACACGAGAAACATCTAAGACTCGTGCTTGAAACACTGCGGGAGAAGCAACTCTTTGCCAAATTCTCTAAATGTGAATTTTGGCTTGGGGAGATCGGTTTTCTCGGGCATGTGGTATCAGGCTCAGGCATTTCAGTTGATAACTCAAAGATCGAAGCAGTCACTAATTGGGAGAGGCCCAAAAATGTGAAGGAAATAAGGAGTTTCCTTGGTTTAGCGGGGTATTACCGCAAATTCGTGGAGAAGTTCTCCGTAATAGCATCTCCACTCACGAAGCTCACTAAAAAGGGGGCTAAGTTTGTGTGGGATGACAGGTGTGAGAAGGAGTTTCTTGAGCTAAAGAAGCGGTTGACTGAAGCACCAGTACTTGCCCTACCCGTGCAAGGGTTGGGGTATGACATCTATAGCGATGCTAGCATCCAGGGGCTTGGGTGCGTACTGATGCAATCGGGTAAGGTAATTGCTTATGCTTCTCGACAACTGAGGAAGCATGAAGTGAATTACCCCACACATGACCTTGAGCTAGGAGCTGTGGTGTTTGCTTTGAAGATTTGGAGGCATTACCTCTACGGTGAAGTGTGTCACATTTATACTGATCATAAAAGTTTGAAGTACGTGTTCACTCAGAAAGAGTTGAACATGAGGCAGAGAAGATGGATGGAGCTGATCAAGGATTACAACTTGATTATCGAGTATCATCCAGGGAAGGCTAACGTGGTAGCCGATGCTCTTAGTAGGAAGAGTTCATCGGGGGTTTTACTCTCATGCTTGCAAGCATTGAGGGCACGCGTGGAGGTATCCACGAATGGGGCTCTACTGGCCAGATTTGAGGTGAGACCCACATTATTAGACGAAATCAGGACGCGTCAGGCCGGGCAATGACGAGGAAATTCAGAAAATCCGGGAACGGATGCTGGTGGGACCCGTCGAGGGTTTCCGTGAGAGGGAAGATGGACTCCTACTATTCAGGGAGCGAGTGTGTGTGCCGTCAGATGAGGAGCTCCGAAAATCTATTCTTGAGGAGGCTCACTCATCTGCGTATGCCATGCACCCAGGTGGAACAAAGATGTACCGGGACTTGAAAGAAAGTTACTGGTGGTCAGGGATGAAGAGAGAGATTGCAGAGTATGTGAGTCGTTGCCTTACCTGTCAGCAGGTTAAGGCAGAGCACCAGCACCCAGCAGGGTTATTACAGCCTCTTACCATCCCAGAATGGAAGTGGGAGCATGTTAATATGGACTTCGTGGTAGGTCTACCACGGACGGTTAGGAACTACGACGCGGTATGGGTGGTGGTTGATAGGCTGACCAAAAGTGCTCATTTCCTACCTATCAACACTACTTATACGCTTGAGCGACTGGCCAAGTTGTATACAGATGAGATCGTGAGACTGCATGGGGTTCCGGTCACCATAGTGTCGGATAGAGACCCACGGTTCACATCACGGTTTTGGCCTAAGTTCCAGGAATCCATGGGAACGAGGTTGAGGTTTAGCACGGCATTCCATCCTCAGACAGATGGGCAATCTGAACGGGTGATTCAGATTTTGGAGGACATGTTGAGGGCATGTGCCTTAGAGTTCCAAGGAAGTTGGGACAACCAGTTGGCTTTGGTGGAATTTGCCTATAACAACAGTTATCAGGCAAGTATTGGCGTGCCTCCATACGAGGCATTTTATGGGAGGAAGTGTCGGACACCTTTGTGTTGGGATGAGGTAGGCGAGGCTAAGCTTGAGGGCATCGAGCTAGTCGAAATTACCAAGGAGAAGGTGAAGGTGATTCAGGACAGACTCAAGGCTGCCCAGGATCGGCAGAAGAGCTATGCAGACAAACGTCGAAGGACGTTGGAGTTTGAGGTCGGCGATGAGGTATTTCTGAGAGTGTCACCTTGGAAAGGGATCATCAGGTTCCTCAGTCGGGGTAAGCTTAACCCACGTTACATCGGCCCATTCAAAATCATTGAAAGGATTGGGGTTGTAGCGTATCGACTTCAATTAACTCCAGAATTAGAAAGGATCCATAATGTATTTCATGTTTCTATGCTCAAGAAGTATGTACGAGACCCGTCACATATTCTTGAGAAACCACCGGTAGAGATCCGAGAAGACCTTCACTATGTGGTTCAGCTGGTAAAGATCATGGACCGACAGGTAAAGAAGCTAAGGAGTAAAGAGGTACCGATGGTGAAGGTACTTTGGAAGAGTGATCGTGTCGAGGAGCAAACATGGGAAGTGGAGACCCTGATGAGGGAACAGTATCCATTTTTGTTTGACTAGACACGTGGATTTCGGGGACGAAATCCCAAATAAGGGGGGGTAGAACTTGTAACACCGCCCTCGAGTATTTGTACTTTATCAAATTATGTATCGAACCCCAAGAGATGAATGAATGCATTTTACGTGATTGTAAATTTTTTATCATTTCTTTTTACGTGAATAGTAAAATTCACGTGGGGCCCACACTGGAGGTGGGGACCACCCGATATTATTGGGCCCACATATTATATTCGTTTGAGTCAAGGTAATATGTGTATGATGGTGAATATCCTTGTTGGGCCATATAAATTATGTGAGTAGCCAATGGAGCATATAAGGCCTATTTATCGGTACCGGCATACTGACAGATAAAAGCCATAATAAATTATGGAGACCGCTAAACTAAAAGTTGGGGAATATACATTCATTCTTATAGCCAATAATAATTGGAAGGATGATAGATATTTCATTTTACCCGATAAAATGAAATACAATTAAACCAGTCAGGAAAATACAACTTTCGGGACCAAATGTACACTCGGGGACATAAAGGGATGACCTCCCACATAAGGGGGGGGCCACCCCACGTTTTTCCAGCTCTCAACTGATGAGAGGAGTGTGCAAATGTTGACTTAAGATGATAGAGGCGAGCTAAGGGGGGAGGTTGAGACAAGAGTTGACTCCAAGGGGACCCCTCACCTCTCATCATCATGGAAGGAGCCAAAGTCACCCCAATCACTCCCTACACCCATCCTTTCGACCTTACCATCCATTTTTGAGAGAGGAGCTCTGCAAAATACTATTTCCACCATCCCCATTCGAACCAAAGCTAAGGGAGAAGAAGGAGGGGAAAGGAAAGTGAAAGAAGAAGGAAAACTTGAGGATTAACAAGGTAATAACTCCATTAATCCCATCCCTTTTTTTTAATCTTCCAATATGATTATGTAATCATATTTCATACCCATAAAACTGTTCTTCACATTAGATGTGAAGAATGAGGGGTTGGAAGATTGGTTCATATCCAAAACGGATTTAGAGAACAAAGTTGACCGATTCATCGGGAAATAACCTTTTAGAGGTTATTTGTGTTGATATGAGTTTCATGATGATAAAACCTTGTTATCAACTTGTATAAGGTATCTCAAGAACTTTCACGGGGTTGAGAAGGTCGCCGGAGTTGTCGCCGGAGTTAGTTGAAGTTCACCGGAGTTTCACCGGAGCTCAATAGGGAAGGCTAGAACTTCATAAGCTTCTTTTAAGGTGAGAAAACGGCTATATGCTTTATGTAACACCGGACCTGAATTTTTTTCTGTGAGATTTTTTTTTCATCAAGTACTGGGTTAAAGAAGGTAAATCAAGACTAAGAGTAGTCTTGATAAATGACAAAGTAAAAAAAAAAATTGTCTTAAATTAATAAAGGGTTATTAATTTAGACGTGGGGACAACTCATGATATTTCGAGTTTGTAAAATATTAATGTTTATCAAAATGATACTATTATAATAGTAGGGATGGGTCATGGACCCCAGTGATATAAAGAACAACAACTAGACGGCCAAGCGGGCCGGGGTCTCGATCCGATAATTGTGAATCATTAATCATCGGACTGATAATAATTCAGAAGGCTACTAATTAATAAAAGATGAAATATAAATGTTTTAAGAACCTAAAATAATGGGATGATAATGTATGATTAAATTGACATATTAGAGGTGGGTACTTTTGGAGGACCCTACCTTGAAGATATTTTCGTATAAGAATAAACAGATAAGATTTTATCTACTTATACAGTTGGGACCACTTAAAAACAAGTGTAACATTTTATTAAAGTGTCACAAAATATGAAAACACATATTTAATCATTAGGAATGATGAATGAATTTTTAAAACAACGTGCTCTCATTTTTACTGTTACTTGAACAGTAAAATGCATGTCGGGTCCACGCATGGGCGGCGACCATCCGATATTTACGGACCACATATTATATTCATCTTGGTTTAGATAATATTTATATGAGAGTGTAAATAAATGTTGAGCCATAAAGTTGGCCTTTCGATCAAACGAGGTCCCATTACCGGCATAGGTAATTAAACATATAACAGCCCGAAATTTATTTCAGTGACCACGAAATTAAAGTGGGATAATATATATTCACTCTAGAGGCCAATATTAATTGGAAGAATGATATATATTTTATTTGACCCGATAAAATAAAATTTACTTAAAACAGTCCGGAAAATACAACTTTCGGAGTCGAATGTGCATTCGGGGAAATAAAGGGATGACCTCCCACATGAGTGGGGGCCATCCCACGTTTTTGTGCATCCAAATGAGCCGTAGAATCTGCATAGCATGGAAGAGAGGGATGCATTTGGTCTCAAATTGATAGGTTGGGTGAGAGAGTGACATTTGGTGGACCTCCCCTCACATTGATTGGCAAAGGAGACAAAGGAAGTCTCCTCACTCCTCTCTACCCCATTATTTCGACCACCATATTCAAGGAAGAGAGGAAACCCTCTGCAAATCATCATCCTCCATTGTTGAAGCAAGCTCAAACCAAGGAAGCTCCAAATAAGAAGAAAGAGTGGGAAAAGAAGAAAATAACCTTGATATATTAAGGTAATGATCTCATTAATATTTTTCATCCTTCATTTAATCTCATATGATTTTATAAATCATATGATAGACTCTTAATCTTATTCTACACTTTTAGAGGTGTAGAATGAGGGTTTGGAAGGTTAAGTTTAACCATAAACGGAGTTATGACCGGAGTAAGACCGGTTCACCGGAAAACACCTTCTTGGAAGGTTTTGATGTTTATACCACTTTTGGTTGTGAAACCTTGTTAGGAATTTTACCAAGGTATTCTAAACTTCTCAAGGAACCTAGGAGTGGCCGGAAAGTCGCCGGAGCCGCCGGAGTTTTCGCCGGAAAATTCAAAGGTCGCCGGAGTTCAAACAAAGGGGATAAAAACTCGCTAGCGTCATTTCAAGGTGAGTGGACGACTACGTGTCTTGTAACTCTTGGTTCAAACGTGGGATTACCTAAATAAAATCATAACCATGATTTGAGAAATGATGAAATGGATTAAAATGCATGATTAGTCATGGTGTATATGACTAATGAAAAAAAATAGATTAATTTATTAATTAATCATTAGTACGTAGTATATATTTCTTAATGCATAAGAGGATATACTTGAACCATGTATGAGACAAGCTCGAATAATCTAGTAAGAGAATATAAAAGGGTTGTAAAGTTGTGATTATCCATATTAAATATGGATTATGGAAGTATTATATGATTAATAAAAAATAGATCAATTTATTAATTAATCATGAGTATATTTTTCTTAAATGAATAAGAAGGTATACTTGAACCGTGTATGTGATTAACTAGAGTTATCTAGTAAAGAAATATAAAAAGATATGTGATATGTGATTAGTCATATTAATTATGGATTATGGAAATATGGCATAATTAATGATTAATCAATTAATGGTATGAATAAAAGGTTGTAAGAAAGGATCATGAGCCATGATTTGGGCTTGGGCATGAGATTACTCAAATAAAACAGAATGATATTCCATGAAATGTTAAATACATCTAAGAATGTATTAAGGAAAGATTTACTTATTAATAGTATTAATAAGTGTATTTAATATGCTTTAATTTGGACAGAAAATGATTATAAATTATGTGTGATGATTTGGACGTCCAAAATAATATTTTTGGACTAAGAATGACTTGTTGCATAAGCGTATAAAATTTCGTGGAAATCGGACCCCGTTTGGATGGTCAAACGGGCGTTGACCAAAATGTTGACCGGTTGCCCAGGGGGTAACCGGCGCCGGTTATAGGCAAAACCGGCGCCGGTTATGGTTCGGTTTACTCAAGAAAATCAGTAAACCGGCGCCGGTTATGGGTAAAACCGGTGCCGGTTATGTCTCGGCTTTCAGGACTGATTTTTGCTAAAAACCCAAATCGGACCCGGTTCGACGTGGGATTAATTCTGGTCATCCTATATATGAATATTTTGCATGGAATTGCATGAAATATGATGTTTAAAATGATAAGGCTTGGAATACGGTTTAAACGCTAAGACTTGGACTAGTCGTTAGTAAAGAAATTATAGACCACGACCGGGCGAGGCACGTGGTAGACTATAAATGGCGGGTGAATACCCGGGACCAAGTAAGGTTATATAATACTCTGTAGGACCAGGAGGAGTCCTCTACACTCAAACGTTAACAAGGGCAAATGCAGTCCTTGAGGTGTGTTTAACCTCCATCAAATTGCATATAGGTAACAAGGGCAAATGCAGTCCTTGAGGTGTGTTCAACCTCCATCAAATTGCATATAGGTAACAAGGGCAAATGCAGTCCTTGAGGTGTGTTTAACCTCCATCAAATTGCATATAGTTAACAAGGGCAAATGCAGTCCTTGAGGTGTGTTAACCTCCATCAAAGTGCATATAGGTAACAAGGGCCCGTGTAGTCCTTGAGGTGTGTTAACCTCCAGTAAATTACACATAGGATGAGGGTGTATGCGTACTCCTCGAGGCGGGGTTAACCCGGAAATGAAAACTATGATAGCAAGGACGGATAGTCCTCGAGGTAGGTGGACCTCGAAGTAATGATTTTAAATGATTAAACGTGCTTGATCGGGAACGAGTTCCCGATATAATATTTTCCTTGGTCTAGGGATTGATTTAAACCATGTCTGGGATATGGGAGTCCGAAGGGCCCCACAGTAATTATATTTTAGTATCGAGTGAGTTAGCCTGCGGGTGACTCCACTCGAGGGTAAGGCATGGGAAGGATGAATTTAATGAGGCTGTTACGCCTAAATGATTTGAAAGACAAATGGGCCCACGGGCTAGATATTTTACTCATATGTATATATGTATACATTTTGTTTTGAAAAGGGGTAGCTAAGAGTTATGCCCATAATTATACTATCACCCTATTTTGAGGGTCTCGCGTGAGAAACGTTAGTTACATTACATACAGTTTGCCCTCACCAGTACTTTTCTGTAGTACTGATCCCTCGGGGGAACCACCCTTTCAGGTTGAAGCTAGAGCTTACTTCCTGCACCCGTTGCTCGGGAGATCGATGGAGAGAAGACGTGGTTCGTGCTTCCTCCGGTTCTATTTCTAAATAATTAAATAATGCTCATGGAACTATTTTGACTTATAAATTAATGGAGCCTGCGAGCTCTTGTTTTACCCTTGTGTGGGTTCTTATTAAACACTTATATTCCGCTATGTGTTTGATTGTATGTTGATGTTGTTATGTATGTTTACTAATCGGTTTTGGCATATGTATCTATCGGACGTCTTGTGCAATTCGGTAAGGATGAACTGCGGTTATTCTTATTGGATTGTACGACGGTTGTCCACGTGGCACAGACGCGGTCTGGGGCGTGACAATTAAGTGGTATCAAAGCCATACGATTTCTAAACTATATAGTCAACCTCTCAACAGAGTTTCTATCAAAACAATTTTTCAATGAAAACCATGAGCATAAGTTTGTACTTTAAGAGCATTTGGTCATCGAGTTGCAAAGTCTCTGGTTGTTAAGACGGGCCCCTTAACAATTGGTATGGCAGTGACTTGAGCCAAGTGGTGCCTTGAGTACGTTTCTGTCAATTGACATTCAAACGAGTCCAAAGACTCATTCCAACATATTCTTTCAGGAATGGGTGGTAGTGATAGGGCGGTTCGAGGAAATCCGAGAGGGCGCGCACCGGGGATAACCGGGCAAGCCAATCGGGGAATATCAAGGTCGCGTAAAAGGCGAGGTATGGACAACCAAGGCCCACGAACACGAGCCACGATGGCTGATCACAATGTGACTGAATTCGAGTCGTGGAACTCGGAGGATGACTCAACTTATCACCCTGAAAGCGAGTCAGATGAAACTTCTTTTCAGGAAAACAGTGGAGAGGATATACAAAGTATTCCTCCTGACCATGTTAGTGAGATGTACCGATGGTACCAACGTGAAAGGGGAAGACAACGACAGGGATCTCAGGAGGGACATGTCAAAGGCGAGACCTCTCTCAGGAGGGGTCGGGGTGCTCATAGAGCACAAGTTAGGACAGTCAGAGATTCTGATGACGAAGGACCATTCATTAAGATCTCAAAGTACCTCAAAGAGGCTAGAGCCTTGGGGTGCAAACCATTTGATGGGACGGGGGACATATCAGAAGCAGCCGAGTGGATAAAAAGGTTAAATGATGCAGCTGAGGACATGCAGGTGGTCCCTGAAAGAAAGTTAAGGGTAGCCACTAGATTATTGGAGGGTTTAGCTTCTACTTGGTGGGAAGGCACCAAGGGTAAGTTTGACGGGGTTGTCACGTGGGACAACTTCGAGCAAGCATTCTATGAGCAGTTTTACACCTCTTTCGAAGTAAATCGAAAGAGGAGGGAATATATCGATCTCAAACAGGGAAATGAGTTTACGGTGAAGCAACTGGAACAAAGATTCCGACATCTGGCAAGGTTCTTGCCTGAGTATGCCGCAAATGAGAACCGAATGGCAAACCATTTTTGGAATGCACTCAATTTGGAAATACGCGAAAGAGCGACCTACCAATTCAACATGACTTTTAGTCAAGTAGTAGCACAAGGTCTCCAGGGGGAGGAGCTTTGGAAGGAAAGGCAAGCAAGGGATGCAAAGGAAGCACAAGAAAGAGATCAGGTGATCATTCACCCTCCACGACGAGAGGGGAAGTATGAACTTCAGAGCAAGGGGAACTCTAACAAGTTAGTTCCGTTTTTCAGTGAGAGCGAGGACTTGGTAAGTCAAAGCTCAAGCACTCGAGGCACGGGGGCACCCAAATGTGAGAATTGTAGGCGAAGGCACTACGGGAGATGTCGAGAGCCATCTAGGTGTTACTTTTGTGGAGAAACAGGCCACATCAAGGTCCTTTGTCCTCAACGTACGCGTGAAGGAACATCAGGAGCTAGAGGAGGGGTCACGGGGGTTGAAAACCCAACTAGGGTTGCCTCAAACATGGTACCTTCTACAAGTCAATGGCGAACTCGCTCGTGAAGGCCGGAAATGGCGGGAGCCATTTGTTGGGCCTGACTATGGCATAAGGTATTATTAAATTAAACCTAAATTTCCATAAATATTTTTATTTTCAAAATTGTTAGCTTCAGATAATGAAGGGAGAAATGCTTCTCAAGGTTCAAACGTTAATTTCGGGGACGAAATTCCTGTAAGGTGGGGTGAACTTGTAACACAGGACCTGAATTTTTTTCTGTGAGATTTTTTTTTCATCAAGTACTGGGTTAAAGAAGGTAAATCAAGACTAAGAGTAGTCTTGATAAATGACAAAGTAAAAAAAAAATTGTCTTAAATTAATAAAGGGTTATTAATTTAGACGTGGGGACAACTCATGATATTTCGAGTTTGTAAAATATTAATGTTTATCAAAATGATACTATTATAATAGTAGGGATGGGTCATGGACCCCAGTGATATAAAGAACAACAACTAGACGGCCAAGCGGGCCGGGGTCTCGATCCGATAATTGTGAATCATTAATCATCGGACTGATAATAATTCAGAAGGCTACTAATTAATAAAAGATGAAATATAAATGTTTTAAGAACCTAAAATAATGGGATGATAATGTATGATTAAATTGACATATTAGAGGTGGGTACTTTTGGAGGACCCTACCTTGAAGATATTTTCGTATAAGAATAAACAGATAAGATTTTATCTACTTATACAGTTGGGACCACTTAAAAACAAGTGTAACATTTTATTAAAGTGTCACAAAATATGAAAACACATATTTAATCATTAGGAATGATGAATGAATTTTTAAAACAACGTGCTCTCATTTTTACTGTTACTTGAACAGTAAAATGCATGTCGGGTCCACGCATGGGCGGCGACCATCCGATATTTACGGACCACATATTATATTCATCTTGGTTTAGATAATATTTATATGAGGGTGTAAATAAATGTTGAGCCATAAAGTTGGCCTTTCGATCAAACGAGGTCCCATTACCGGCATAGGTAATTAAACATATAACAGCCCGAAATTTATTTCAGTGACCACGAAATTAAAGTGGGATAATATATATTCACTCTAGAGGCCAATATTAATTGGAAGAATGATATATATTTTATTTGACCCGATAAAATAAAATTTACTTAAAACAGTCCGGAAAATACAACTTTCGGAGTCGAATGTGCATTCGGGGAAATAAAGGGATGACCTCCCACATGAGTGGGGGCCATCCCACGTTTTTGTGCATCCAAATGAGCCGTAGAATCTGCATAGCATGGAAGAGAGGGATGCATTTGGTCTCAAATTGATAGGTTGGGTGAGAGAGTGACATTTGGTGGACCTCCCCTCACATTGATTGGCAAAGGAGACAAAGGAAGTCTCCTCACTCCTCTCTACCCCATTATTTCGACCACCATATTCAAGGAAGAGAGGAAACCCTCTGCAAATCATCATCCTCCATTGTTGAAGCAAGCTCAAACCAAGGAAGCTCCAAATAAGAAGAAAGAGTGGGAAAAGAAGAAAATAACCTTGATATATTAAGGTAATGATCTCATTAATATTTTTCATCCTTCATTTAATCTCATATGATTTTATAAATCATATGATAGACTCTTAATCTTATTCTACACTTTTAGAGGTGTAGAATGAGGGTTTGGAAGGTTAAGTTTAACCATAAACGGAGTTATGACCGGAGTAAGACCGGTTCACCGGAAAACACCTTCTTGGAAGGTTTTGATGTTTATACCACTTTTGGTTGTGAAACCTTGTTAGGAATTTTACCAAGGTATTCTAAACTTCTCAAGGAACCTAGGAGTGGCCGGAAAGTCGCCGGAGCCGCCGGAGTTTTCGCCGGAAAATTCAAAGGTCGCCGGAGTTCAAACAAAGGGGATAAAAACTCGCTAGCGTCATTTCAAGGTGAGTGGACGACTACGTGTCTTGTAACTCTTGGTTCAAACGTGGGATTACCTAAATAAAATCATAACCATGATTTGAGAAATGATGAAATGGATTAAAATGCATGATTAGTCATGGTGTATATGACTAATGAAAAAAAATAGATTAATTTATTAATTAATCATTAGTACGTAGTATATATTTCTTAATGCATAAGAGGATATACTTGAACCATGTATGAGACAAGCTCGAATAATCTAGTAAGAGAATATAAAAGGGTTGTAAAGTTGTGATTATCCATATTAAATATGGATTATGGAAGTATTATATGATTAATAAAAAATAGATCAATTTATTAATTAATCATGAGTATATTTTTCTTAAATGAATAAGAAGGTATACTTGAACCGTGTATGTGATTAACTAGAGTTATCTAGTAAAGAAATATAAAAAGATATGTGATATGTGATTAGTCATATTAATTATGGATTATGGAAATATGGCATAATTAATGATTAATCAATTAATGGTATGAATAAAAGGTTGTAAGAAAGGATCATGAGCCATGATTTGGGCTTGGGCATGAGATTACTCAAATAAAACAGAATGATATTCCATGAAATGTTAAATACATCTAAGAATGTATTAAGGAAAGATTTACTTATTAATAGTATTAATAAGTGTATTTAATATGCTTTAATTTGGACAGAAAATGATTATAAATTATGTGTGATGATTTGGACGTCCAAAATAATATTTTTGGACTAAGAATGACTTGTTGCATAAGCGTATAAAATTTCGTGGAAATCGGACCCCGTTTGGATGGTCAAACGGGCGTTGACCAAAATGTTGACCGGTTGCCCAGGGGGTAACCGGCGCCGGTTATAGGCAAAACCGGCGCCGGTTATGGTTCGGTTTACTCAAGAAAATCAGTAAACCGGCGCCGGTTATGGGTAAAACCGGTGCCGGTTATGTCTCGGCTTTCAGGACTGATTTTTGCTAAAAACCCAAATCGGACCCGGTTCGACGTGGGATTAATTCTGGTCATCCTATATATGAATATTTTGCATGGAATTGCATGAAATATGATGTTTAAAATGATAAGGCTTGGAATACGGTTTAAACGCTAAGACTTGGACTAGTCGTTAGTAAAGAAATTATAGACCACGACCGGGCGAGGCACGTGGTAGACTATAAATGGCGGGTGAATACCCGGGACCAAGTAAGGTTATATAATACTCTGTAGGACCAGGAGGAGTCCTCTACACTCAAACGTTAACAAGGGCAAATGCAGTCCTTGAGGTGTGTTTAACCTCCATCAAATTGCATATAGGTAACAAGGGCAAATGCAGTCCTTGAGGTGTGTTCAACCTCCATCAAATTGCATATAGGTAACAAGGGCAAATGCAGTCCTTGAGGTGTGTTTAACCTCCATCAAATTGCATATAGTTAACAAGGGCAAATGCAGTCCTTGAGGTGTGTTAACCTCCATCAAAGTGCATATAGGTAACAAGGGCCCGTGTAGTCCTTGAGGTGTGTTAACCTCCAGTAAATTACACATAGGATGAGGGTGTATGCGTACTCCTCGAGGCGGGGTTAACCCGGAAATGAAAACTATGATAGCAAGGACGGATAGTCCTCGAGGTAGGTGGACCTCGAAGTAATGATTTTAAATGATTAAACGTGCTTGATCGGGAACGAGTTCCCGATATAATATTTTCCTTGGTCTAGGGATTGATTTAAACCATGTCTGGGATATGGGAGTCCGAAGGCCCCCACAGTAATTATATTTTAGTATCGAGTGAGTTAGCCTGCGGGTGACTCCACTCGAGGGTAAGGCATGGGAAGGATGAATTTAATGAGGCTGTTACGCCTAAATGATTTGAAAGACAAATGGGCCCACGGGCTAGATATTTTACTCATATGTATATATGTATACATTTTGTTTTGAAAAGGGGTAGCTAAGAGTTATGCCCATAATTATACTATCACCCTATTTTGAGGGTCTCGCATGAGAAACGTTAGTTACATTACATACAGTTTGCCCTCACCAGTACTTTTCTGTAGTACTGATCCCTCGGGGGAACCACCCTTTCAGGTTGAAGCTAGAGCTTACTTCCTGCACCCGTTGCTCGGGAGATCGATGGAGAGAAGACGTGGTTCGTGCTTCCTCCGGTTCTATTTCTAAATAATTAAATAATGCTCATGGAACTATTTTGACTTATAAATTAATGGAGCCTGCGAGCTCTTGTTTTACCCTTGTGTGGGTTCTTATTAAACACTTATATTCCGCTATGTGTTTGATTGTATGTTGATGTTGTTATGTATGTTTACTAATCGGTTTTGGCATATGTATCTATCGGACGTCTTGTGCAATTCGGTAAGGATGAACTGCGGTTATTCTTATTGGATTGTACGACGGTTGTCCACGTGGCACAGACGCGGTCTGGGGCGTGACACTTTATAACTTTTGCGTGAGGCATGAGATTACCTAAATTAATCAAGAACATGTTTTATGAATTGATTAATGGTAGTAAAGTATGTGTTATGTCATGATAGAAACCATAACATAGTTGGAAAGCATGAAATGTAGGTTTGATTAGTGAAATTAATATAAATTGATATGTATGATGTTCCAAGGGCCAAAACAGGTATTTTTGGATCAAGGACTTCAAGTAGTACATGCATGTAAAATTTCACGTTAATCGGACTCCGTTTGGGCGGTCAAACGGGCGTTGACCGCCAAGTCAACTACAATACCCGACCGGGTATTGGCAAATACCCGACCGGGTATTTGCTGAGAATCTGCCCCGAGGGCTGCTGTCTCCTATACTCGATCGAGTATGGATAGGTACTCGATCGAGTATGCATGGAAAATTAGCCTTACGGGCTGCTGTCTCCTGTACTCGACCGAGTATAGGTGGGTACTCGATCGAGTATTGGGTTATACTCAAAACGGGTAGTTTTTGAGTAGGTTAACGTGGACCGATCAGGTGGGACCCGTCCACGTTAGTTACTAAGGATTGTTACATGACTATAGGACTAGGTATTGTCCATAGTTAAGTGAATGAAAGGTTAGCCATATCCAAGTTAGGGTTGGTAAGGAATAAGGTTGAGGTTGAGTATCCTCGGGACGGATAACGATCCTAAAACTCGGTGAGGTTGAGTATCCTCGGGACGGTAAACAATCCCAGAAACTCGGTGAGGTTGAGTATCCTCGGGACGGTAAACAATCCCAAGAACTCGGTGAGGTTGAGTATCCTCGGGACGGTAAACAATCCCAAGAACTCGGTGAGGTTGAGTATCCTCGGGACGGTAAACAATCCCAAGAACTCTGTGAGGTTGAGTATCCTCAGGACGGTAAACAATCCTAAAAACTCGGTGGGGTTGAGCATCCCCGGGACGGTAAACACTCCCGAAACTCGGTAGGATATTATGAAGGTAGAATGTAGCCCTTGAGCTAGACATTCAGGAAAGAAAGGGGAAAGGTTGGGTAAACACCTTATCTCTAAAAGACTTTTTGTGAGGAAACGACCTACGGGTCAAGTATTTTACAAGTATATACAGTATGTATTATCTTGGGAATGGGGGTAACAATGGTTACACCTATATATTTATGTATCATCCTATTTTTGGGTCTCGTGTCTGAAACATTAGTTATTCCTCATATAGCCTGCTTGTCACTAGTGCTTCTTTCTGTGAAGTACTGACCCCTCCGGGGGGCCTCACTATTTTTCAGGTTAAGGCTAGAGTCCTGCTACCTGCACCTTTGCATAGGGTGGACTTCGAATAAGGAAGACTTGGTTCGTGCTTCCATTCTTATTTGACTTATGAAAATGCTCATGGATATTTGAACAATGTTTTCTACTAAACTATTGAAGGGTCTGCGTGCTCATGTATGCCACGTGTGGCTAATTACTAAACATATTTTACTTCCGCATTTGTTTGAGTAATATATTGATGTTGATTGTATGAGTTTACTAATCGGTTTGGCAATAGAATCTATCGGACGCCTTGTACGATTTGATAAGGATGAACTACGTTGTTCTTATTGGGTTGTACGGCGGTTGTCTACGTGGCACGGATGTGGTCCGGGGCGTGACACGGAGTATGAAAATGTTCTTTGTTAATACTACCATCATAAAAATATAAATATATGATTATATTAAATATATTATTTAAAATAATGGATCAAAGTTTACCATTTTCATTTGATTGGAAAAGTTAAAAATGACTAAATAAAAAGGGATGAATGTAGTACGAAGTATATAACATTATGGGCCCCAAAATCTTTTGAGAATGTTGTCATGTGATTATATAATTCTCGATTAGAAAAGTTTTGATTTATTATGTGTTTACTGCTTAGTAAGTTCGTACATGAGGACTGAAAGTGGATTAAATATTCTAAAAGTTTTTTTACTACATCAACTTCTATTTAGTTCAAATACGAGAAACTTTATTTTGACATGATGAAGCTGCTAGCATAACTTGTTATTCATATACTTCGTATTATTTACTTATAAACCAATGCAAAACAATTTTTTCACATGAAAACTAATCGCGGTCTACATCCAGGATGTATAGAGTATATATTTAGTTTAGGCAACTTCCATCACAAATATAAATAAATTCCTAGAAAAATATCTAAGCATCACAATGTAAGTCCCAGTAGAAGTAATAAAAGTGTTTGTTAAAGACTACGTACCTCAGCCGCATGTATATGATTGCAGCGGCTTCCACCTTGCCCGGTTAACTCTTGATGCATGCGATTAATTATCTCACTGATTTTGTTACAAAACACCTTTGATCGTTGTGTCTGAGACTGCAAATGATGCCCAAAACGACTACTTAAACTCAAACCTGATTTGCTGGAAAACTGACTCTGATATGAGTACTGTGATACATTTCAAGTAGTTTACGTTGAGAAGCTACGTTGTAATTCATGAAGTAAAGTTGGCGGGTCTTTTGCATAACTAAACCAATTTAATAGTACGCGGTACTGTATGTAGAAGTGGTTATGCATAACTCGCCATCTATGCAGTTTTTTTTGCTGAAGAGTACGTGAAGACGTAGTGCATGATTTATTCAAATTTTACTTGTAAATATTCTAGGATGAATTAAAATTGAATAAAACAGTTAGAACTCGATCACGGAAAGTGATAGGTTCACTGTTGCCTGCCGGAGTCCACAGAGAAAGGTTGAGGAACTGCTGGAACATCACTTATCTGTTCGGTGGCATTTATACTCTGTATATAGTACACACTCCATATTTCCGTTTCCATTCTAAACAAGTTGTATCCTTTTGTAACCGATGTGATGGTGTGAAACAAACAGCATATCACAGGCGCGAACAGTTGTATGGCTCACGGTTCTCTTATTCACTCCCTTGGTTTCCCTTTTTATATTAGTATAGATATATAGGATTGTACAAGTAGGCCTTTCAAAAAATAGTTTGCTCTTGATGTAGTTCATTATGAATTTTGTAGAAAATGTATACTTTCTTGTTTTGATTTTTTACATTTTTGAGTGGGGTATACTCCATCATATTTCTTTTACTTTTAGATATTAAAAGATTGCAACCGCATTTTTACTTTGTAATTCTACGTGTAAGTCAAAATTGATTAAATTTTATGAGACAAAGTTGTATAACAAGTTGTTGTATGTAACGAATGGCAAAAGCAATAAAATTTCTAAACAATTACATTTTTTAAAAAATTTAAGTTTTCTATATGGTAGTGTGAAACTAAATTCACACTAGATCAAAAAAAATTATAAACGGATCCCATAGAGTGTTGTGCCAAATATACTTAAAAATCTTAAGAAACATTTCTAAATAGTACAAAAATTAAGAAATAGTATTTTTTATCATCCATGTATTAAGAGTTTATGGAAACATTTCAAACAATAAAAAAAAACTAAAAAACAACGACTTATGTCCGCTAAACGTACCCTTTATATATACTGTATGCGCGTTACCAAGGGACCTTTTCCTTAGGGCAGATCCGCAGTAGAGGTAGGGGGCAGCTGCCCCCCACTCAACCCCATCCAACCCCCAATTATATATATAGAGAGACATAGCCTTATATTGTGCATAAATTATGTGTCATGTATTTGTAGGTTTTAGGAATTAATCTTCCTTGAATATTATTGAACCATTCGGCAGTAATATATATACAGGTTACAGATAACAACCTAGCTGTTCAGATCCTAAAAAATAGGATCTATCTAACTACGAGCTTATCTCTTAATTAAAGAAGTGTATCAGCTCTAATTCTTATATATACAGCTCCGGATGTACTTAAAATAAAAATACAAATACATGTCACATTTTCTACACTCCCCCTCAAGTTGGTAAGTATATATCATACATTCCCAACTTTCTTATAAGTAGTTCAAACACTAGTTTGAACAATCCCTTTGTAAAGATATCAGCTGTTTGTTCTTTGGTAGATATGAATGGAGTACACACAATCCCAGCTTCAATCTTCTCTTTGATAAAGTGTCTGTCCACTTCAATTGTTTAGTACGATCATGTAGCACAGGATTGTGAGCAATATTAATACCTGCCTTATTATCACAATATAACTTCATAGGTAGATCCATCTTCATATTCAGCTCTGAAATTACCCTCTTAATCCAAAGTAGTTCACAGATTCCATTAGCCATAGATCTGAATTCAGATTCTGCACTACTCCTAGCAACCACATTCTGCTTCTTACTCCTCCAAGTCACTAGATTCCCCCATACATAGGTACAATACCCAGAAGTAACCCTTCTATCAGTAATTGAGCCAGCATAGTCTGCATCTGTAAAGGCCTCAACAGTTCTATTGTTGCTCTTTCTAAATAAATAATCCTTTCCCTGGACAGCTTTTCAAATACCTTAAGATTCTGTAGGTAGCATCAAGATGTTCTAGGAATGGATTATGCATAAACTGGCTAACCATACTAACTACAAAGGCAATGTCTGGCCTTGTATGTGCCAGATAAATCAATCTTCCCACTAATCTTTGATATTGCTGAACATTAACTGGAACTCCTTCTTTGACATCTCCTAACTTTTGATTAGGGACAATTGGAGTATCTATTGGTCTGCAGGAACTCATGCATGTTTCATGAAGAAGATCTAGTACATACTTCCTCTGAGATACAACAATCCCTTTCTTTGATCCAGCTATCTCCATGCCAAGAAAGTACCTTAAGTCTCCCATGTCTTTGATCTCAAATTCATGGGCAAGCTTCTTCTTCAGGTCTTCAGTTTCTTTATAATAATCTCCTGTAAGAATGATATCATCAACATAAACAATTAATACTCCAATCTCCCCCTTACTTGAGAATTTCATGAAAAGTGTATGATCTGCTTGAGCTTGCTTGAATCCCTGTCTTTTTATGAATTGAGTAAACCTGCCAAACCAAGCCCTTGGGGACTGTTTGAGTCCATACAAGACTTTCTTCAACTTGCATACCTTTGAGCCATATTGACCTTCAAACCTAGGAGGAGGGCTCA